CCCAGGCAGGTGCTTAGTTTTGGTGGGGCTGATGGTAAGGCCCCACCTCTTAGTGGCACGCTCCAGTCTCAGCAGCAGCGTCTCCAACTCCTCCTCTGACTGAGCAGCTATTACCAAATCATCAGCATACATAACGTGGTTGAGCAATAGGGAGCCATCCCTTGACCGCACCCGGGCATCGATCAGCCTCCCATTATATCTGTACCATATGGAGATTCCCCCGGCATCAGCTATTGAAGGCTTCACGAACTACGTGGTCAAAATAGATGTTAAATAATGTGGGAGCCAGAGGGCATCCCTGTCGCACCCCAAGGTGTACAGGGAATGGCTCTGACTCCCGGCCACGTAGTTTTACCCGGGCCCGCTCACCATCTTGAAGGTCCTTAATGATCGTGAGCAGAGGGTCAGGTACTCCAAAAGCACGAAGAACGACCCAGAGCCCAGGCCTACTGATGGTATCATAGGCCTTGACCAGGTCAATAAAGCAGAGATGTAAGTCTTGTTGGAATTCCCTACACCTCTGCTGTAGCAGACGGACAGAAAATATGGCATCTGCGCAGGACCGCCCTTTCCTGAAACCGCATTGGGGCTCCGCAAGCCTCTCCTCAGCGTGCCTGGCAAGGCGATGCTGAATAATCCTTGCCAGGACCTTTCCCGGCACACTGAGGAGTGAGATGCCCCTGTAGTTGTTACAGTCTGTGCGGTCCCCCTTCTTAAAAAGGGGGACCACCAAGGCATCCTTCCAATCCTGTGGAACCCGTCCAGTGGTCCAGACTGTTGTTATGATGTCATATAGGGCAGTCTGTGCACAAACGCCACCCTCCCTCAGCATTTCGCTTGGGAGATCATCTCTGCCCGCCGCCTTTCCTGGTCTCAGACTCCTGATCGCCTTCAATATTTCCTCAGCAGATGGCACGTCAGCCAGCCACTCACATGGGGTGACTTCTTCCAATATTTGAGGCACCGCAGCCTCAGCAGGGTCATCCTCACCTTGTGCCACGATGTTTTCCTGGCTGTGGGATTTTCCCTCCCCCTGGACCTCACAGAAATGCTCAGCAAATCTGCGAACCTGTTCCTGGGGGTCGGAGATTGGATCACCGTTTTTTCCCCTAATGATGGTAATAGGTGTGGCGCTGCAGGTTACTTTTTTGATGGAGTTAAATAGAGATTTGTGATCACGGGCCACTGAGGCAGACTCCATCTCCTCAGCAACCCGCGACCACCACCCATCCTTGCAGCGCCTCACGGCTCTCCGAACCTCCGAGCGAAGGCTGCGGTAAGACTCCTCATTCTCTGACGTGGGATTCTGTAGCCGATGACAGTGGGCCTGTCGCTTTTTCTCAACCATCCTGAACACCTCCTCTGTCAGCCAGGGTCTCTGGGGAGGTCTCGACCGCGTACCCAAAGCAGCCATTGCAGCTGCATGAGTCACAGTCCTAAACCTCGCCCATTTACCCTCGACATCAGGAGGAGTCGGGGACGATGCCAATCCCAGCCGCAAGCGATGATGAAATTCTCGCTTGCAACTTTCATCAGATAACTGAGACCAGGCCACTTTATGTTGGAATGGGGTCCTGGGTGTACACCCACCACCGGAGTGGAAGAATGGCAGGCGCATCTTACAGATGACTAGTCGATGGTCAGAGGGCAGATCAGCTCCACGGTAGGTCCTGGTGTCAAGGACATGGGCTCGCATTCGCTGGTCCGTCACTATGTAGTCCAGCAGATGTTCTTGCTTGGACCCGGCATGCATCCATGATGTTGTGTGGATGCGCCGATGCCGGAACAGCGTGTTGGTAATTACAAGCCCATGGGCTGCACACAAATCTAGCAGCCTCCTACCGTTGTTATTGAGCTGATCTGGCCCATGCCCTCCAATCACTCCAGACCAGGTGCCAGTATCATGACCAATACACACACACACAGATACACACACACTCAGATACACACAGATACACACACACACAGATACACACAGATACGCACACACACAGATACACACACACAGATACACACAGATACACTCACACACACAGATACACACACACAGATACACACAGATACACACTGATACACACACACAGATACACACAGATACACACACACAGATACACACAGATACACACACACAGATACACACACAGATACACACACTCAGATACACACAGATACACACACACAGATACACACACACACAGATACACACAGATACACACACACAGATTCACACAGATACACACACACAGATACACACAGATACACACACACAGATACACACAGATACACACACAGATACACACACACAGATACACACAGATACACACACACACAGATACACACTGATACACACACACACAGATACACACAGAGATACACACAGATACACACAGATACACACACAGATACACACACACACAGATACACACACACACAGATACACACACAGATACACACACAGATACACACACACAGATACACACACACAGATACATGGCCTGTGATAAACTGCTGGGGGGTGGGTAGCCAACACCACGCCCGGCCGCCTTTGTCTCCCTAGTCGCGATGTTTACTACACATCTCACCAGGTGACTCATATTAGGCTGAGTCGACCTAGGGAAGGTCCAGGACCGGTTCAGATAATCGCCACCGACGGTGTTGGCCGTGAGCGGGAAATCGAACCCGGGTCGCCAGGTTCGTAGCGAACACCGCAACACCACCGCTCCCCTACAGACACACGCACACATAGATAGGTACAAATACATTACTGATAGCACACACACACACACAGTGACATATCAAAGATCAAAGATCCCCCATATAGCCTGTAACAGACTGTAGGGGCAAGTGCTGTTAGCGAGCACCTATGAAGGCCGGAACGGTACACGAGGGGGTGGGTGGCCAGCACCACGCCCGACCGCCTTTGTCTCCCTAGTGGCAATGTTTACACACCGCACCAGGTACTCATTTGAGGCTGAGTCGACCTAGGGGAGGCCCGGGACCGGTTCAGATAATCGTCACTGGTGTTGGCCATGAGGAGGAATCGAACCTGGGTCGCCAGGTTCATAGCGCAGCGTAGCGCTAACCGCTACACTATCGCTCCCCACACAGTGACATATAGACACACACACACATAGATACATACATACAGATGCATACACGTGTAATGACGACTGGACACGCTTCTCCTGAGAAGGCATTTTTATTAAAGAGGCATTCACTCGACACCAGGCAGAAACCTTCACAGCCCGGAGTGTCCCACGGATCCCGCCCTTATATACCGGCACGAGGCCACGCCCCCCTGCCCCCACCCCCCCCCACCCCCTCCCACCCCCCCTTCTAGATCATTCTCGCTGACTCTGGACGCTCGCTCCACCGGCAGACTCCACCGTCTGCTTCCGGCCAGCTGACCAGGCTCCCTTCTAGAACATTCCCCGTGGCCACCAGTCCCTTCACACTCACAGCTGACTCTCCCTGTCGGTAGTTCCCGTAGCCACCAGTCCCTTCACACTCGCAGCTGACTCCCCCTGTCACTACCTCCCATGGCCACCAGTCCCTTCACACTCACAGCTGACTCCCCCTGTCACTACCTCCCGTAGCCACCAGTCCCTTCACACTCACAGCTGACTCCCCCTGTCGGTAGTTCCCGTGGCCACCAGTCCCTTCACACTCACAGCTGACTCCCCCTGCCATTACCTCCCGTGGCCACCAGTCCCTTCACACTCACAGCTGACTCCCCCTGTCGGTAGCTCCCGTGGCCACCAGTCCATTCACACTCACAGCTGACTCCCCTGTCATTACCTCCCATGGCCACCAGTCCCTTCACACTCACAGCTGACTCCCCCTGTCACTACCTTCCATAGCCACCAGTCCCTTCACACTCACAGCTGACTCCCCTGTCACTACCTCCCATAGCCACCAGTCCCTTCACACTCACAGCTGACTCCCCCTGTCATCACCTCCCATAGCCACCAGTCCCTTCACACTCACAGCTGACTCCCCCTGCCATTACCCCACATGGCCACCAATCCCTTCACACTCACAGCTGACTCCCCCTGTCACTACCTCCCATAGCCACCAGTCCCTTCACACTCACAGCTGACTCCCCCTGTCACTACTTAACATGGCCACCAGTCCCTTCACACTCACAGCTGACTCCCCCTGTCATTACCTCCCTCGGCCACCAGTCCCTGTATGAGTGTGTGTGTGTATGTATGTCTGTGTGCATGTGTGTGTGTGTCTATGTGTGTGTGTGTATGTGTCTGTGTGTGTCTGTGTGTGTGTATCTGTGTGTGTGTATCTGTGTGTGTGTATCTGTGTGTGTCTGTGTGTGTATCTGTGTGTGTGTGTGTCTGTGTGTGTGTATCTGTGTGTGTGTATCTGTGTGTGTGTATCTGTGTGTATCTGTGTGTGTATCTGTGTGTGTGTATCTGTGTGTGTGTGTGTCTGTGTGTGTGTATCTGTGTGTGTGTATCTGTGTGTGTGTATCTGTGTGTGTGTATCTGTGTGTGTATATCTGTGTGTGTGTGTCTGTGTGTGTGTGTATCTGTGTGTGTGTATCTGTGTGTGTGTATCTGTGTGTGTGTATCTGTGTGTGTGTATCTGTGTGTGTGTATCTGTGTGTGTGTCTGTGTGTGTATCTGTGTCTGTGTGTATCTGTGTGTGTGTCTGTGTGTGTGTCTATGTGTGTCTATGTGTATCTGTGTCTGTGTGTCTGTGTGTGTGTGTCTGTGTGTCTGTCTGTCTGTCTGTGTGTATCTGTGTGTGTGTATCTGTGTGTGTATCTGTGTGTGTGTGTGTATCTGTATCTGTGTGTGTGTCTGTGTCTGTGTGTGTGTGTCTGTGTCTGTGTGTGTATGTGTATGTGTGTATGTGTATGTGTATCTGTGTGTGTGTGTATCTGTGTGTGTGTGTCTGTGTGTGTGTATATCTGTGTCTGTGTGTGTATCTGTGTGTGTGTATCTGTGTGTGTATCTGTGTGTGTGTGTGTATCTGTATCTGTGTGTGTGTGTCTGTGTGTGTGTGTATATCTGTGTCTGTCTGTGTGTGTGGTCTAGAGTGGCTCTGGCTCCGGCTGCCCTGGCTCCTGCTGCCCTGGCTCCTGCTGCCCTGGCTCCTGCTGCCCTGGATTCTGCTGCCCTTCTTGCACGGCCTCTTGCAGCTTTGCCTGGTAGTCACGCTTGAAGAAGCCAGTCTACACACACACACAGAGATACACACAGAGACATACACAGAGATACATACACGGAGATATACAGAGACGCAGAGAGATACCGACAGAGACACAGAGAGAGAGACGCAGAGATAGATATACAGACAGAGACACGGAGAGACACAGGCAAAGACACAGAGAGAGATACACAGAGAGAGATACACAGATAGAGATACAGACAGAGATACACAGAGAGATACACAGAGATAGAGATACCGACAGAGACACAGAGAGAGAGACGCAGAGATAGAGATACAGACAGAGACACAGACAGAGACACAGAGAGACACATACAGAGAGAGAGATACAGACAGAGACACAGAGAGAGATACACAGAGAGAGATACAGACAGAGACACACACAAAGATACACAGAGATAGACAGAGATAGAGATACAGACAGAGACACAGAGAGACACATACAGAGATAGAGATACAGACAGAGACACAGACAGAGACACATACAGAGAGAGACACACAGGGATAGACATACAGACAGAGACACAGAGAGAGACACACAGAGAGAGATACAGACAGAGACACACACAAAGATACACAGAGATAGACATACAGACAGAGACACAGAGAGACACACACAGAGAGAGATACAGACAGATACACACAAAGATACACAGAGATAGACAAACAGACAGAGACACAGAGAGACACATACAGAGAGAGATACAGACAGAGACACAGAGAGACACAGAGAGACACAGACAGAGAGAGATACAAAGAGAGATACACAGCGAGATACACAGAGATAGAGATACAGACAGAGATACAGAGACACATACAGAGATAGAGATACACAGAGAGATATACACAGAGACATACACAGAGATACATACACGGAGATATACAGAGACGCAGAGAGATACCGACAGAGACACAGAGAAAGAGACACAGAGATAGAGATACAGACAAAGAAACAGACAGAGACACAGACAAAGACACAGAGAGACACATACAGAGAGAGATACAGAGAGAGACACAGAGATAGAGATACACAGAGATAGAGATACAGACAGATACAGAGAGAGATACAGAGAGAGATACACAGAGAGATACACAGACATAGCGATACAGACAGAGACACAGACAGAGATACAGAGAGAGATACACAGAGATAGAGATACTGACAGAGACACGGAGAGACACACACAGAGAGAGATACAGACAGAGACACACACAAAGATACACAGAGATAGACATACAGACAGAGACACAGAGAGACACATACAGAGAGAGATACAGAGAGAGATACACACACAGAGATACACAGAGGGATATACACAGAGAGATATACAGAGAGATACACAGAGAGAGATACAGAGATAGAGATACACAGAGAGAGATACACAGAGAGATACACAGAGAGAGATACAGACAGAGATACAGAGAGACACATACAGAGGGATATACACAGAGAGATACACAGAGAGATATAGAGAGAGATACACAGAGAGAGATACACAGAGAGATACACAGAGAGAGATACACAGAGAGACACACACAGAGAGATACACAGAGAGAGATACAGAGATAGAGATACACAGAGAGAGATACAGACAGAGATACAGAGAGACACATACAGAGGGAGATACACAGAGAGAGATACACAGAGAGAGATACACAGAGAGATACAGAGAGAGATACACAGAGAGAGATACACAGAGAGATACAGAGAGATACACAGAGAGAGATACACAGAGAGATACAGAGAGAGATACACAGAGAGATACACAGAGAGATACACAGAGAGAGATACACAGAGATAGAGATACAGACAGAGACACAGAGAGACACATACAGAGAGATATACAGAGAGAGATACACGAAGAGAGATACAGACAGAGAGATACACAGAGATAGATACAGAGAGATACAGACAGAGAGAGCTACAGACAAGGACACAGAGAGACACACACACAGATATACACAGAGAGAGATACAGAGATAGAGATACACAGAGAGAGAAACAGACAGAGATACAGAGAGACACATACAGAGAGAGATACACAGAGAGATACACAGAGAGATACAGAGAGATACACAGAGATAGAGATATAGACAGACACAGAGAGACACATACAGAGAGACACATACAGAGAGAGATACACAGAGACACAGAGAGAGACACAGAGATAGAGATACAGACAGAGATACAGAGAGAGACACATACAGAGAGACACACACAAAGATACAGAGACACACAAACAGAGAGATACACAGAGAGATACACAGAGAGAGATACACAGAGAGAGATACAGACAGAGATACAGAGAGACACATACAGAGAGAGATACACAGAAAGATACACAGAGAGATACAGAGAGATACACAGAGGGAGATACACAGAGAGAGAGATACAGAGATAGAGATACACAGAGAGATACACAGAGAGAGATACACAGAGAGAGATACAGACAGAGATACAGAGAGACACATACAGAGAGAGATACACAGAGAGAGATACACAGAGAGATACAGAGAGAGATACACAGAGATAGAGATATAGATAGACACAGAGAGCCACATACAGAGAGACACATACAGAGAGAGATACACAGAGACACAGAGAGAGACACAGAGATAGAGATACAGACAGAGATACAGAGAGAGACACATACAGAGAGACACACACAGAGATACAGAGACACACAAACAGAGAGACACAGAGATAGAGCTACACAGAGATAGAGATACAGAGAGAGATACAGAGACACACACACACAGAGATACAGACAGAGACACACACAGAGATACACAGAGATAGAGCTACACAGAGAGAGATACACAGAGAGATACACAGAGAGACACATACAGACAGAGACACAGAGAGACACACACAGAGATACAGAGGCACACACACAGACACAGAGACACACACAGATACAGAGACTCACAGACAGAGAGATACACAGAGATAGAGCTACGCAGAGATAGAGATACAGACAGAGATACAGAGACACACAAAGAGAGAGATACACAGAGATAGATACACAGAGAGAGATACACAGAGACACACACAGACACAGAGAGATACACAGAGACACACACAGACACAGAGAGATACACACAGATAGAGATACACAGAGATAGAGATACAGACAGAGACACAGAGAGAGATACACAGAGAGAGATACACAGATAGAGATACAGACAGAGATACACAGAGATAGAGATACAGACAGAGACACAGAGAGAGATACACAGAGAGAGATACACAGATAGAGATACAGACAGAGATACACAGAGAGATACACAGAGATAGAGATACAGACAGACACAGAGAGAGATACACACAGAGAGATACACAGATAGAGATACAGACAGAGATACACAGAGAGATACACAGAGATAGAGATACAGACAGAGACACAGAGAGAGATACACAGAGAGAGATACACAGATACAGATACAGACAGAGATACACAGAGAGATACACAGAGATAGAGATACAGACAGAGACACAGAGAGAGATACACAGAGATAGAGATACAGACAGAGACACAGAGAGATACACAGAGATAGAGATACAGACAGAGACACAGAGAGAGAGATACACAGAGATAGAGATACAGACAGAGACACAGAGAGATACACAGAGATAGAGATACAGACAGAGACACAGAGAGATACACAGAGATAGAGATATAGACAGAGACACAGAGAGAGATACACAGAGATAGAGATACAGACAGAGACACAGAGAGATACACAGAGATAGAGATACAGACAGAGACACAGAGAGAGATACACAGAGATAGAGATACAGACAGAGATACACAGAGAGATACACAGAGATAGAGATACAGACAGAGACACAGAGAGAGAGATACACAGAGATAGAGATACAGACAGAGATACAGAGAGAGATACACAGAGATAGAGATACAGACAGAGATACACAGAGAGATACACAGAGATAGAGATACAGACAGAGACACAGAGAGAGATACACAGAGATAGAGATACAGACAGAGATACACAGAGAGATACACAGAGATAGAGATACAGACAGAGATACACAGAGATAGAGATACAGACAGAGACACAGAGAGAGAGATACACAGAGATAGAGATACAGACAGAGATACAGAGAGAGATACACAGAGATAGAGATACAGACAGAGACACAGAGAGAGAGATACAGACAGAGATACAGAGACACACACAGAGAGAGATACAGACAAAGACACACACACAGAGATACACAGAGATAGAGATACACAGAGACACACACAGACACAGAGACACACACAGACACAGAGACACACACAGACGTAGCAGTCGAAAAACGCCACCATCGTGAGCTATCAATAAATATATATAATATATTATAAATGTATAATGTATAAGAAATATATAATATATAATAAATATATAATATATTATAAATACAATAAATATATATAATATATAAGATATAATAAATATATAATATATAATAAATATAATATGTAATAAATATAATATATAATAAATATATATGTTGAATATATAATATATAATAAATATGTAATATATAATAAATACGCAATATATAATAAATATAAAAGATATAATAAATATATAATACATAATAAATATGTAATACATAATAAATATATAATAAATATGCGATATATTATAAATATATAATAAATATATAGTATTTAATAAATATATAATAAATATATAATATATGCTGAATATATAATATATGCTGAATATATAATATATAATAAATATGGAATATATAATAAATATAAAACAAAGATATAATACATAATAAATATATAATACATAATAAATATATAATATATATACAATATATAATAAATATAATATATAATAAGTATATAATATTTAATAAATATATAATATATAATAAATATATAATATAGAATAAATATACAATAAATATATAATATAGAATAAATATATAACATTTAATAAATATATAATATATAATAAATATATAACATTTAATAAATATATAATATATAATAAATATATAGTATTTAATAAGTATATAATATATAATAAATATAATGCGCGCGGGCACTCGCTGGGCTGGGTCAGGTCAGCGGAGAGCCTGGGCCCTGATTGGCTCGGCCACTCCCCCGCCCTGGAAGGTTCCAGCACTAGCGGAGACCCGGGGGGGGCTGAGGGACCGGCCCAGCGAGACCCAGCGGGGCCGGGCCTGCAGGGCCGGGACCAGGGGTCGTGACCCGTAGCTCGTGGGGGTCGGGGGGTCAGGGGGTCGGGGGGTCAGGGGGTCAGGGGGTCAGGGGGTCGGGGGGTCAGGGTGGTCTCCGCTAGGCCACAGATAGCCGGAGGGCAGTAACTCCCTAGGGGGTGAAGTATGGACGGTGACCCTAGGGGTGAAGTATGGACCCTAGGGGTGAAGTATGGACGGTGACCCTAGGGGTGAAGTATGGACGGTGACCCTAGGGGTGAAGTATGGACGGTGACCCTGGGGGTGAAGTATGGACGGTGACCCTGGGGGTGAAGTATGGACGGTGACCCTAGGGGTGAAGTATGGACCCTAGGGGTGAAGTATGGACCCTAGGGGTGAAGTATGGACGGTGACCCTAGGGGTGAAGTATGGACGGTGACCCTAGGGGTGAAGTATGGACGGTGACCCTGGGGGTGAAGTATGGACCCTAGGGGTGAAGTAGGGACGGTGACCCTAGGGGTGAAGTATGGACGGTGACCCTAGGGGTGAAGTATGGACCCTAGGGGTGAAGTATGGACCCTAGGGGTGAAGTATGGACGGTGACCCTAGGGGTGAAGTATGGACCCTAGGGGTGAAGTATGGACGGTGACCCTGGGGGTGAAGTATGGACGGTGACCCTAGGGGTGAAGTATGGACGGTGACCCTAGGGGTGAAGTATGGACGGTGACCCTGGGGGTGAAGTATGGACCCTAGGGGTGAAGTAGGGACGGTGACCCTAGGGGTGAAGTATGGACGGTGACCCTAGGGGTGAAGTATGGACCCTAGGGGTGAAGTATGGACGGTGACCCTAGGGGTGAAGTATGGACCCTAGGGGTGAAGTATGGACGGTGACCCTGGGGGTGAAGTATGGACGGTGACCCTAGGGGTGAAGTATGGACGGTGACCCTGGGGGTGAAGTATGGACGGTGACCCTGGGGGTGAAGTATGGATGGTGACCCTAGGGGTGAAGTATGGACGGTGACCCTGGGGGTGAAGTATGGACGGTGACCCTAGGGGTGAAGTATGGACATGGACCCTAGGGGTGAAGTATGGACGGTGACCCTAGGGGTGAAGTATGGACCCTAGGGGTGAAGTATGGACGGTGACCCTAGGGGTGAAGTATGGACGGTGACCCTAGGGGTGAAGTATGGACGGTGACCCTAGGGGTGAAGTATGGACGGTGACCCTAGGGGTGAAGTATGGACGGTGACCCTAGGGGTGAAGTATGGACCCTAGGGGTGAAGTATGGACGGTGACCCTAGGGGTGAAGTATGGACGGTGACCCTAGGGGTGAAGTATGGACGGTGACCCTGGGGGTGAAGTATGGACATGGACCCTAGGGGTGAAGTATGGACCCTAGGGGTGAAGTATGGACCCTAGGGGTGAAGTATGGACGGTGACCCTGGGGGTGAAGTATGGACGGTGACCCTGGGGGTGAAGTATGGACATGAACCCTAGGGGTGAAGTATGGACATGGACCCTGGGGGTGAAGTATGGACCCTAGGGGTGAAGTATGGACGGTGACCCTAGGGGTGAAGTATGGACCCTAGGGGTGAAGTATGGACCCTAGGGGTGAAGTAGGGACGGTGACCCTAGGGGTGAAGTATGGACCCTAGGGGTGAAGTATGGACCCTAGGGGTGAAGTAGGGACGGTGACCCTAGGGGTGAAGTATGGACCCTAGGGGTGAAGTATGGACCCTAGGGGTGAAGTATGGACGGTGACCTAGGGGTGAAGTATGGACCCTAGGGGTGAAGTATGGACGGTGACCCTAGGGGTGAAGTATGGACGGTGACCCTAGGGGTGAAGTATGGACGGTGACCCTAGGGGTGAAGTATGGATGGTGACCCTAGGGGTGAAGTATGGACACTGACCCTGGGGGTGAAGTATGGACACTGACCCTGGGGGTGAAGTATGGACGGTGACCCTGGGGGTGAAGTATGGACGGTGACCCTAGGGGTGAAGTATGTACGGTGACCCTAGTGGTGAAGTATGGACCCTAGGGGTGAAGTATGGACACTGACCCTGGGGGTGAAGTATGGACGGTGACCCTAGGGGTGAAGTATGGACATGGACCCTAGGGGTGAA